AGAATTTCTAAAACTCCACACCTAACCACATCACTGAGACATTTCAGAACACCAAAGAAAAATAGATCTCAACCAGCAATTAGACTGACAGCAGGTTTCTCAGCAGCAATAGAAACCAGAAGACAACGGAATAATATGTTCAGTATTCTGAGAAAAAAAAGAAAGGCAAGGGTAAACCTAAAATTATACATCCAGTAGAATTACCCTGAAAGAATGAGGGGAAAATAAAAATATTTCAAGTAAAAGAAGACCCTGAGCATTTACCACATCACACTCTTCAAAAGAAATTCTAAGGCATTTACTTTAAGCACAAAGAAATGATCCAGAAGGAAGGCCTACGACAGGCAAAGAAATGGTAAGCAAAGAGACTGTCGTGTAGTTGTTGCTGTTAGGTGCCATCAAGTCATCTCCAACTCATAGCAACCCTAAGTATAGCAGAACAAAACACTGCCCGGTCCTGTGCCAGTTCCGCGATCCTTGCTATACCTGAGCCCATCATTGCAGCCACTGTGTCAATCCATTTAACTGAGGCCCTTCTCCTTTTTCGTTGACCATCCACTTTAAAACCAAAAAAAAAAAAAAAACCAAACTCACTGCTGTCATGTTGGATCCAACTCATAGCAACCCCTCCTTGGGTTTCTAAGGCAGTATCTCCACAGAAGGAGATTGCCCAATCGTCCTTCCAAGGAGCGGCTGGTGGGTTCGAACCGCCAGCCTCCTGGTTAGCAGTCAAATGCTTTAGGCACTATGTCACAGACCCTCCACTTTAGCGTGATATCCTTGTCTAAGGAATGGTCCCTTCTGACAACATGATTAAACCAGGTGAGACAAAAGTCTGGCCATTCTCGCTTCCAAGAAGCATTCCAGATGCACTTCTTCCAGGACAGATTTGTCAGTTCTTTTAGCAGTCCATGGTATTTACAGCATTCTTTGCCAACACCACAACTCAAAAGCATCGGCTCTTCTTCAGTCTTCCTTATTCATTGTCTAGCTCTCACATGCATATGAGGTGATGAAAATACCATGGCTTGTGTCAGGTGCACCTTAGTCTTCATGGAGATATCTTTGCTCCTCAGCACCTGAAAGAGGTCTTTTGCAGCAGATTTGCCAATGCTTTATGTCGTCTGATACCCTGACTGCTGCTTCCATTGGTGTTGATTGTAGAACCAAGTAATATGAAGTCTTTGACAATTGCAGTATTCTTTCCATTTATTGTAATGCTGCTTATTGGTCTGTCATATGTGTAGTGGGCCTAAAAACACCCAATGTCTAATTTATAGAACTAAAGTAGTGAAAAATAACAGCTTATATAGGAGCTCTGGTGATGCAGTGCCTATGGCACTTGACTGCTAACCAGAAGGCTGGGGGTTCAAACCCACCAGCCACTCCTTGGAAGGAAGGTTGGGCAATCTACTTTCATAGTGATACTGCCTTGGAAACCCAAGGAGGGGTTGCTATGAGTTGGGTCTGACTCAACAGCACATTGGAAAGGAGACCCTGGGTGGTGCAAACAGTTAATGTGTTCAGTTGCTAATTAAAAGGTTGGCAGCTCAAGACCTCCCAGAGGCACCTCAGAAGAAAAGCCTGGAGATCTATTTCCAAAAAGTCAGCCATTGAAAAATCTATGGAGCACAGTTTTACTATGACACATGGTGACACATGGGGTCACCATGAGTCAGAATCAATGCCAATTGGTTATAAGTTGGGAGGGGTTGTGCAGAGTCAAAATCCTGTGAGGTCTTTGAATTGTTCCAGAAGAAAGTAAAGATATTCATTAGCTTTAGACTTTAAGTTTACATGTTAAAATAGTTAGAATAATCCCTTTAAAATATTCATAGAACATACTACCTCAAATAACTTGAGAGAAAAAATGGCATGCAAAAAAGAAAACATAAACACACACAACCCAAAAGGAGCCTCTTCTATTGTCTATCCTAAATTTTTAACATTTTAATCTTCTTTGTTGTCTGCATTTTCATTCATGATAAATAGCATTTTATAAATTTTTATTGTGAGCTCTTCAAAAGGTCCTTTTCTTATGAAAATCTCATTCAGCATAAATTGTGGGAGCATCACTTCAGGTTGGTTTTTCACTGATTTCTGTCAGGCATTCCAGATGCACCACGTCTGGAATTTTTTTTTTTTTTTTGGTCAATTTCTTGGATTTGGAATTCCATTGACACACTAGTAGTATAGTATAAATTTAACCTCAAAACTCTTGTGAAATGCAGGTCTAGGATTTCAAAATTTTGTTAAATATATATCCCCACTGCCACTGTCAATTCTGACTCATAGTGACACTAAAAGACAGAGAAGAACTGCCCCATAGTGTATCCAAGGCTGTAATCTCAGAAGCAGGGCACCACATCTTTCTCTGGCAGAGCTGCAGGTGGTTTCAAACAACCAGTCTTTCAGTTAATAGTTAAGAATTTAACCACTGACCCACCAGGGATGCTCCTATGAGTGGTTAGCCTAGGAAACCCTATGGGGTAGTTATACTCTGTCTTATAGGATCACTGAGTCAGAATCCACTCAACTGCAATGCGTTTGGTTTTTTGTTTTTTTTTTTCCCTTAAGTTTTACAGGAGCAGACTGCCACATCTTTCTCCTGCAGAGTACCTGGTGGGTTCAAACCACCAACCTTTCAGTTAGCAGACAAGCACTTAAGACCACATCACCAGGACTCGTATATATACTTATATTTACATATATTTACTTTAGGAATCAGACAAAAACAAGTTTCCTTATCTGCTTGTCCTCTGGGTGTTTTTTCATTTTCCCTAGGTCACACTTTTCCTGAGGATGGATGATGCCTTTCAGAGGCAATAGCTTTTTGCAGGGTATTCATTTCCAACTCCCACCCTGAGCTACTGCAAGCCCTTAAATCCTACCCCAGATTACCCCATCTCAAATTACAGAGACCAACACCAACTTGTCTATATCTAGGATGAACAACTGCATCTGCCCAGCCAGGGCTGATGGGTTTCCAGGGACATGGAGTTTTCCAGTTCTAAAACCAAGAAAAGTCCTGGGCAAACCAGGATGATTGGTCACCTACAACCATTCTCAGGTACAGAGAAGAGTCAATTCAGCAAGTCATTGCCCTGGTTGTCAGTTTATTTCCATTTCAATATTTTGAGATTTCCTTTTATTTCTTATGGGTTTAGCGACTTATTAAAAATAACATCAGTTATTATTTTTAACCAGCATTGCTAGGTGTTTTCAGGTTATAAAAGTCCAGATTGCCAGTTGAAAAATGCATTTTGTCAGCATAAAAGAGAAGCTTGAGGATAAAAGTCAAAATTATGTGAACTGCTCCAGCAACCACCCTACAGTTCATCCTTGCTCCAGACTCTGTTTCTCTAACCTAGAGAAAGTTCTAGAACTCTCTAAGCAGGCCTAGCTTCTTCCTGAAGGGCCTAGAAGATAAACTCCCTGAGGGAAGACATGTTTGCCTGTTTTATTCATTTCTGCAACCCCAGCGTCTGACAACCTAGGCACTCAATAAATATTTCTTGAAAGAATGAACATTATGAATGCCAAGCTGGCTGGCCCAAACTGGCATTTCCTCCAATCCAACCTCATTTACCTCAAACTTGACAGAGAGGCATCCAAGTTTCTGGCCTTTTGAGGTCTCCTTCCCAGTTTTCCAGAAACATGTTCCTGTTTTCTATTTCTATCTGTATTTAAATGGATTTTGGGGATGGATGATGGAGTCGATCGTGATTCGGCTAATACTGAACGTTCAAGACGCCATTTTGAAACTAGCCTATATACATTAAAATTTTTAAAAAACATGTTAATACAAATTTAGGTACACATTTATTTAAATTATGCTGCAAGGTACTTCCAAAACCTGGGTGTGTCTATCTGTCTTAAGGCAGCAGGGTCGGCCTTGCTGTGCAGTGCCGTCCTGCACACACCCCTTACGCACCCCCGGCCGGTGCCGTAGTCCCCCGCAAGCCCCTCCCGCTGGAAGGAGGGCGGGGGCGCTGTCACCCATTGGCTGAGGCAGCCACTAGAGCCCTAGTACCCGGAGCAAAAAGCCACCTCCAGGAGCCGCGTGGGCCACAACTCAGTCCTCCTGCCGCCCGTCAGCTTCCTCCCCCACTTTTTTGGGCTCCTCAGCCTGGCCACTCACCTTTGATTTCCTTCACAAGTCTGACTTGGCTTCTTTTGCCCTTTCAAAGCGGGGCCGCAGGTGCAAGAGGACCTAGCAACAACCCCAGGAGTAGGGCCAGAGAGCAGCCTTGCTTCTCCTCGAGCGCTGTCGGTGGGAACTGCTAGCTGCCGCCATCATGGTGAGTTGAGGAGGAGAGGTGTGAGGAACGCAAACCCAGAAGGATCTCCTAGGGCGACTGAAACTCGGCATTTTAAGTCCAGTTCGGGGTGGGGGCTGAAAGTGGGGTGACCTTAGCTTTCTTTATCAGGGGGCAACCTACCAGGCACACTTCAGGCCTTGGCCTACATAATGGGGGTAGGGTGGGGAATACGGCCTGCTGGGCATGGCCTTAGGGGCGCGGTCTACAGGACGCAGAAAGGCGGGCAGAGGGGAGGCGGCGGCTTCCTGAGGCGGGTAGGTCGTGGAAAAGGGGCGGTCACGGGAACCCCTCCTTCCCTCACTTTGGTAGGCCATGTGCATGCGAAGCCCATGGCCTCTGTGTGGTCCCACCTCGCACCTTGGTGTGAACTAGCCTGGGGCAAGGAGGCCTGTGTTCTCTGCCTGGACGGGAATTGGGGTGCAGGGTACTACACTCCCGCCCCCTCAAGTTTTCCCTTCCTGAGCTTCCCCAGTGTGGACACTGATTGCAGCGGTCTTTGAGAGATGGCGTCAGGCCTGCAGCCGCCAAGAACGCCACCTAGCGCGGTCTTTCTGAGGAACTCCCACTTTTTGACTTTGAGAGTGGAAGTTTCTTCAATAAGGGGTTCTTTTTGTCTTCGTAAGGGTTGGAATAAGTAGGTTTGGCGAGAGACCTCAGGATGGTGTGTTCAGGTGGGACATGGCGTGGGAGGATCCTTCAGCAAAGGAATCTGGAGTGCTCGGCCCGCGATCTGAGAAAGGAACCATCACTGAAGTACGTTTGTGGCGGCCGCTCGTGCTGCCCAGTGATTTATGACATGCTGATGGTGGCGCCCTCGAGAGGCGAAATCGGGTGCAAAATCTAACCTGACGCCATAATTTCTGCACGATGCCGGCGTCAGTAGTTGCCCTCGGTCCTGAGGGACCTCAGTTCCTTTAATTTCTTGCAATCAAGTCAATTCCGCCTCACAGTGACCTATAGAACAGGGTAGATCTGCCCCATGGGATTTCTGAGGCTTTAGATCTTTACAGAAGCATACTGCCACATATTTCTCCTGCGGAAAGGCTGATTTATACGAACTTTTTGGTTAGCAGCTGAATACTTAAACCACTGAGCCACCAGGGCTCCTTATATTATATGTAAATATGATAAAAAATGTTTAGTAGTAATCATTTAGCTAGTATCATTACATATTCATATTAATTTAATAATTATGAATACTAAATAAATTACAATATTTTTGTATTTAATTATTATGACTAAATAGTTATAACAATTTTTCCTCTCCATTTTTTAGAGGTAAAGGGAAGAAATGCTGATATTTATTGAATGTTCTGATTAATAAAGTAGCATATTTACTATTTTGAGAATAACCTATATAAGAAAATAGAGATCTGTCTTAATCCCAGCACCTATAAGCACTGTTAAAATGTTGGTGTACACCTTCCAGGTCTGTTTTTATGCACATATTTATTACATATGGATACGTCAATTTTATTTTACAAAAGTTCTACCACCCTATATAACACTATTTTACAATCCATGTTTTCAATTAACAATATAGTGAGCATTAATCCAAAGGTAAATTTAAAGTAATTTTTTATGGTATAATTACTTATTTTACCAAATCCCTTCTAATGAATAATTTTTCAATGTTATGACAATACTATAATAAATATCGGGAGTTCTGGTGGCGTAGTGCCAAAGGTTCAAACCCACCAGCCACTCCTCGGAAGGAAGATTGGGTAATCTACTTCCGTAGTGATAACGCCTTGGAAATCCAAGGAGGGATCGCTCTGAGTCGGATCTGCTCGATGGCAGTGAGGTTTTTTTGGGTTTTTTTTTTTTTTTTTTTAATAATAAATATCCTGTGCAAACATCTTGGCATGCTTGTTCTAGTAATTCCTCGGGATAAATTACCAGAAGCGGAATTTCTGTGTGAAAGGGCTATGCCCAGTTTATCCTCATTTCAAATTATATATTTTTTCCAAGTTACTCTTCATATGTACCAATTTGTACCAATTTACATTCCCATTTATGGTGTGTAGAGCTCTGATAGTGTAGTGCCTAAGGCACTTGACTGCTAATCAGAAGGTTGGCGGTTCAAACCCACCAGCCACTTCTCAGATGGGGCAATCTACTTCCGTAGTGATACTGCCTCGGAAACCCAAGGAGGGGTCCGACTCGACAGCACGTAACAACAACAACTAACAGTTTTCTCTACATGAATTCCAATGGCAGGTGATACAATTTTTAAAAATTGCTAATCTGTTAGCTGGAAGGTAGCGTTTCACTGTGTTGATGTGCATTTTTTTAAAAAAATCATTAGTGAAGTTGAAATTTATCATGGGACCTTAGCTTTTTAAGAGCTCTGGTAGCATAGTGCATAAGGCACTTGACTACTAACCAGAAGGGTGGCAGTTCAAACCCACCAGCCACTCCTCAGAAGGAAGGTTGGGCAATCTACTTACATTGTGATACTGCCTCAGAAATGCAAGGAGGGGTCACTATGAGTCGGGTTCAACTTGACGACACATAACAGCATTAGCTTTTTACTTTTTTTGTTAGTTCTTAGTCTACCTTTCACTTTTACTTTTTAAATTGTGATTTGGGTGAAAGTTTACACAGCAAATTCATATTCCATACAGCAGTTTATACACATTTTGTTTCATGACATAGATTGCCATCCCCATAACGTAACAGTTCTCTTTCCACTTCTTCACTGTGGTTACCTTTCCCCTGTGTCCTTCTTTCCTATGCAGTCCTGCTCTCTGAGCTATCTCCCTGTGCAAATTCTGCCTTTGTGATCTCCCATGGTTGATTGTTCTAAGAAGTGTACCTAGTGTAAATGTTCACTTTATATACCTGTCTGTTGTTTGGCTGGAAGCCACAGGAGGGAGTTCAATTCCAGGCCTGAAGGGTCACTAGGGGCCATAGTCTCAGGGGCTTCGCCAGTCTCTCTCAGACCAGTAAGCCTGGTCTCTTTTATGATTTTGAGTTTTGCTCCACATTGTTCTTCCATTGTATCCAGAATCTCCTATTTTTATCCCTTTCCAAATGGTTTGTTAGTCCACCTTTGTATTTGGATATTTATCTTTTTCTTATAGAGTTACAGGAATCCTATCTAAAATAATATTAACTCTTTGTCATCTATAAACCCAAAAGAAGTTTATAGTGGTGATAAGGAGGTTCTTTTGTCTTATTCCTAATTTTAATGTGAATGACTCTAGTCATTTTATGTCTGGTTATGGCTTAGAATCAGATGGGCAGATAGAGACAACAAGGTTCTTCTATTTCTATTATTTTTGTAATTAAAAATGAGTATTTTATCAAAAAGCCTTTTCAATGATGAATTACAGTAACAGATTTCCTAAGAATGAATCCTCCTTGTATTTGCTGCATAAACTACTTAATTTTTTATATATTGCTGGAATTTTTCATCTTTGTTTTGGGAGCATTAGGGATAGGAGTGGACCATCTTAATAACGTTTTAGATGGTATTTGCTTTGCGAAATACATTGAAATTTTTTTTTTCTGTTTTTTCTGAAAGTTTTTTAATGGAAAAGCAAATTTTCTTTCTCCTCCACTGCCACTTCTCTATCTGCCGGTGTTTCTGTGTCTTGGTGAGTGTGTCTCTCTCTTCTTTCACTCTCTGCCCCTCTCTTTTTAATACATACACAAATTATTTTTTTTTAAAGATTGAAAAAACTCCCAGTGAAACTGAGCCAGGCATCTTTTCAGCAGTTTCTCCCTTCTCACCAAAAAAACCAAATTCACTGCCATCAAATCATTTCTCACTCATAGCCACCCCTCCTTGGGTTTCCAAGGCAGTATCTCTACAGAAGTAGATTGCCCAATCTTCCTTCCAAGGAGTGGCTGGTGGGTTTGAACTGCCAGCCTTCTGGTAGATACTGATTAATCTAGTCAAATATTCTTTCTCTTCCTAACGTAGCCTTGAAAATTTATATTTCTCTAGAAAATTCTCCATTTCATCAAGATTTCCAGTATTTACCACCTCAGAAACCTAATGGGGGTCACTATGAGTCAAAACCGACTCAATGACAATGAGTTTAGGGTTTTTTTTTTTTTTGGTTTTATTAATAGTTAAAAGGCGCTCTAGTGGCACAGTGGTTAAAGCATTCAGTTGCTAACCCGAAGGTCGACAGTTCCAACCTACCAACTGCTCTACAGGAGAACAGTGTGGCAGTCTATTTATATAAAGATTTACAGGCTTGGAAACTCTGGCACAGTTCTACTCTGTCCTGTAAGGTTTCTATGAGTCGGAAACAACTCGATGGTGTTGGGTTTGGTTTTGATTTATAAATAGTTAAAGGAGACTTAGTGGCATAGTGGTTAAAGTGCTTGGCTGCTAGCTGAAAGGTTGGCAGTTTGAACCCACCTGCTACTCTAAGGGAGAAAGATGTGGCATTCTGCTTCCATAGAGATTACAGTCTTGGCTACCCTATGGAGCAGTTCTACTCTGTCCAGTAGGGTTGCATGAGTTGCAGTCAACTCAATGGCAATGATTTTTTTCCCCCCCCGAGGGAGTTATATTTTTGATAGTTAAGATTAATACTTTATTTAACATCAAACCTCTTTCTTGCTAAAGCCTAAGCATTCATCTGTAGAACATTTTTGGCCATAATTTAAATGTAACCAAAGGTTGTCCATTAGGTTGTAAATGGATTGTATATAAATTATAATTATATATAAACATATATACATAGTATGAGTTTAGAAATGTACTTATTTTTAAATCTCTTCTGTTCAGGCTGGTTAAAATGGAGTACAGGTGGTACTTAGGTTATGAACATCTAACTTACAGACCACTCCTACTTGCCCTTTAATGCAGAGCTTCATACCGCTTCTGTCATGGACAACAAAGTGAAACAGGAACAGACTGGAATTTTTACAATTTGGTTGATTTGTCATGGTAAACAGAATGGGAAAAATTACAGGTCAAAGTTCTGGAATGGGAGACTTGGAAGAGGCATAATTAGCCCTTTCAGGAGCCTGATGCATGAGATTGGATTATTGGCAGGACTGTAGAGAGCCAAACACATTCAAAGCAGCGTGTGGTAGGCCACCATCTTTGAGCAGGAAGCTGCCATTTTTGAGTCCTACTTTAATGTTAAAAGTAAATTTGTCTGCTCTGAAAGATTGACCAACCCCTACTTGCATCAAATTTTTCATCACGGTCACCTTCACTTGCTACACATGCAGCTTTTACATCATTGAAAAGGCCTTTGAGCTTTTTCTTGCACTAAAGTAAGGCTAAATAAGAATCATATGCAACTGTTCTACTGACCTACAGATTCTTAAAAGACACAGGACTTTTTCTCATTTTGTAAACCCAGGACTGAGTTCGGTTTGCTAACTATGTTAGCTTTGAGCTCCACCTGCTGGCTCATGACTGGAACATGATAATATTGTCCTTAATTTAAGACTGATGACACTGGTAAAGTGATTTGATGAATTTCATATTTAATATCCCAACTAAGCAAGCAGCCAGTTTTAAAAACTCAAGCCAAAGCCATACTTCTATTAATAGCTAACAGCTTTTTACTCTTTCCCAAATGACTGTTTGTTTAGTTGTCTCAAGTATCCATTTTACTTTTGTAAATAGACTGTAAGAATTAGAAGGACATAAGAGATCTTTTCCTACTATGTGTTTTCCAAGTAAGGAAATATTCTGAAAAAACTTCATTGAATAAAGAAAAGCAAGTTCTTCCTAAAGGAAAATTTTTCTCAATTCTAGTGGCCCTGTCGTAGAGTTTCTCAACCTGGACTCTATTGAAATTTTGAACAAGATATTTTTTTGTTCTGGGAGGCTCCTCTGTACATAATAGGTAGTATATCTGGCCTCCACCCATCAGATACCAGTAGCACTTCCCGGTTGTGAAAACTGGAAAAGTTTTTACATTACTAAATGGCCGTTAGGGACAAAACAAGTGCACTACCATATAACCCCGTTTAGCCTAGCGCAGTTTTCATTCCAGATTGCACTCCTAAATTAAAATATATCCATCCACTATAGTAGCGTAGTGATACTGCCTCGGAAACCCAAGGAGGGGTCGCTATGAGTTGGGTCTGACTCGACAGCAAATAACAACAACAACAACATAGTAGTAACTAAAGTACTTGACTGCTAACCAGACGGCTGTTGGTTCAAACCCAGGAGGCTCTCCTCAGAAGGAAGGTTGGGCAATCTACTTCCATAGTGATAGTGCCTCAGAAACCCAAGGAGGGGTCACTATGAGTCGGGTCCAACTCGACGGCACATAACAACAACAACATAGTGTGCAGACAGGTAATACCATAAATCATTTATTTTAAAAAAAAAAAAGTATCCCAAGTTCATCCATAAATGAAAGAGGTAAATTGAGGAGGAAAGAAAATCTATGAGAATTTCAGAACCACGGTTTTATTTGTGTTTTGGATTTTTGAATGAGCTAATTGAGAAGAATTTGGTAAATTTTATGTGTTGTTGTTGTTATGTGCCGTGGAGTCAGACCTGATTCATAGTGACCCCTCCTATGTAGGGAAGGGAAATGAAGTCAGGGTCTCAATAATTGAAGATCTATAGTTTATGTAATATGTTCCCATTTAGAAAAAAATAAGACATTAAAAAAGGAAAAACTTTATAAATAGTTTTTTACTCTCTATAAGCAGAGGTGTGGGCAGTAGCTTTATTTCTCTCTTACAGCCTTTTGCACTTACCTCTTATATTCAGTGTTGTTGTTGTTATGTGCCATCGAGTCAGACCCGACTCATTGTGACCCCTCCTTGGGTTCCCGAGGCAGTATTACTACAGAAGTGGATTGCCCAGCCATCCTTCTGAGGAGTGGCTGGTGGGTTTGAACCGTTAGCCTTCTGGTTAGCAGTCAAGTGCCTTAGACACTAAATTTAAAATGAGTGAATGTGCCATAAAATATTTTCTTGAAATTCCAATGCAAATTAGTTGTTAATTAATAAAGTATCTACAAAATAAGTCAGTAAATAGTAGAACTAGAAAATAAACTTTTTTTTTAACCTATTGAAAATAGATTCAAGTAACAGGACACTAACTTACATTGGCACAGCACTTTGTACTTTACAAAATGAATTCATAGATGCTATCTCATTTTATTCTCAAAACATTCACTTAAAGATACACAGCTGGCAAGTTAAGTGATTTATAATGTAGTAAGGGACATGAACCTAGATCTCCTGACTAAACTCATTTTCGTTTTGCTATGTTGTACTGCCTCTCCTGGCATATTTAGTACTAGTTCATTCTGTTTTAGAAAATTTCACATTAACCTTACAGTTTACTGAGGGAAGACCAAAGACAGATTCTGACCAGAATGCAGAAAAAATAATGAGTTTTATGAGGTTTTGTTTCTTTTTTAATATGAAAATAAAGATGGTATCATCTATTAGGCTACTGTGAAAATTATCATTAACAGTGGGACTGATTCAATGTTATTCAGAAAGATAAATGTTACTTCAAAAGATACTTTGAACACTCTAGCATTAAATAAAAGGATTTTATGTCTTTTTTTTTCTTTTTTTTTAGGAAGAACTGTGCTATGTGAGCACATATTGTTTTCATGATCCATCTCCAAATAAAGCAGAGAATGTTATAATTATAAACTCCCTATTAATTTTGGTGAATAGTAAGATGAGGCAAAAGAAATTGGTTTAAAACACTGATATTTGTTTTTATTTTCATGGAGCTTTATTTATTTATTTTTTTAATTGCGCTTTGGGTGTAAGTTTACAGTGCAAAATTTGCTTTACATTCAACAGTTAATGTACATTTGATTTTATGACCTGATTACCATCCCTGACCATAACACACTCTCCTTCTTTTCCATCCCTGTGACACCCCACACACACACACACCATGCCCTTCTTGCATATGCACTCCTGTCTGTCCAGCTTTCCCTCCATGTGACTACTGCCCTCTGGTGTCCCATGGCCAGTTGCTCTAAGGGGTGTATATCCCTAGAGTAGGTGGGTGCATCACCCACTGGTGGGTATTCTGCATGTAAGTCTTTCTACTGTTAGGCTGAGAACCGATCTTTGGGAGTAAGTCCAATCCCAGGCCCGGAGGATATCCTGGGGCCGTAGTCTTGGGGGGGTCCCACCAGACTCCATTTGACCAGTAATACTGGTCATTTTTGTGTTTCTGAATTTTGTCCCACATTTTTCCTTCCCTTCCGTCCAGGATCTCTAGTTTTGATCTGGGATTGGTAGCCGGGTACCATCTAGTTCTTCTGGTCTCAAGGTCCATCATATCCTTGGACTAATTGTTTCCAAATGCCTTTGATTTTCTTTACTCTTTGTCATGTAGTTTTTTCTTTTGTATACTTTTTTCTTTATGATTTACTATATTTTAATTAATGTTCTTAGTAAAATGAAAACTTGTTTATTAGTATAAAACAGAATTATTTTAATGATTTGACTTTTACAAATCTAAACTTTCTAATTATTATTATTATTTTTCACCAGTTCATAAAATATTTTCACAAACTCAATATAAACACAGTACTGCATACAACAGTATATAAAAGATGATGGTGCATTTAAGAAACTACTGCACCCTTTTGTTAAAATCTCATCCTGATCTACTTTGATGGTTTTAAATCTTGAGCCTAAACTAAGGTGTATTTTACGATGAAAGTAATTATATAAAAGTATTTTGTACTTTAAATGTAAAAATTATATTTCATGTTGTATGATTTTTGTCTTTGTTTGTTGTTTACGATGTCTGCTTTCCAAATTATAGTCTGCTGCAACTCCTGAGACTCCAAACTCAGCAATCTCCAGAGAGGCCAGCACTCAGTCCTCATCAACTACAACCAGCCAAGGCTATGTTTTACCAGAAGGCAGAATTATGCCCAACACTGTTTTTGTTGGTGGAATTGATGTTAGGGTATGGTATTCATATTTTATTTTTACTTTAATATATGTTGTGAATAATGGGATTTTGGCCCTGTTGCAAACCTATGCATTTTGTACGTCATGCCACTTTGGATTAGGTTTTATGTTTAACCCATAGGGACTAGATATATGTTGACAAAGAGCAACAGATAGTTTGAGGATACTTGGAAGAGATACTTCCACATAACCAAACCTTCCTGATAGTAAAGTTCAAAAATTTGAATGTGAATTTTTATTCTTTAAATTCTTTTCCATAGGTGGATGAAAGCGAAATTAGAAGTTTCTTTGCTAGATATGGTTCAGTTAAAGAAGTGAAGATAATCACGGATAGAACTGGTATATCCAAAGGGTGAGTAAAATATACCTTCAGTATGAATTATCAAAATTCTCTGAAGCTTAGCATCTATAAAGTCCCTGGATGGTATCAACAGTTAAAGCACTCAGCTACTAACCAAAAGGTTGGCAATTTGAGTTCATCCACAGGCACCTCAGAAGAAAGGCCTGGAGATCTACTTCTGAAAAATCAGCCGTTGAAAACTCTATGGAATATAGTTCTTCTCGTTGTTATGAATTGGAACTGACTCGCAGCAACATTTTAGTTTTAGCTTCTATAAAGTATCAGAAAAGAAGCCTTTGAAACTTACATTCTTATATAAATAAATTTGTTGCTTCTGTTAATTTCTTTCATAAGAGAATATGAATATACTACCGGATCTTTTATTTAATCATTTTCCTAATACTTGTTTCTAAATATAACCTGTCCTTATTTATTTAGCCTAAGTGGATTAATTAGTTTTTTTCAAATAGTTTTCTTCTCAAATTGCACAGTATCTTAAATTTTAACCATAGTGCTGCAGATAATAAAATTAAACTTGGTTTTGTAGATGTGAATTCTCTGCTAATGAACGAGGTTCCCACACTACTTTAATCTTAGTACATTCTGACATTGATTAGAATAAGGGGTACAGTAACACTAATATTTATAGATGGTCTATCATGTATATCTTACATATGCTTATCTTAGTATTTTATCTTTTATCATTACCATTTCTGTCTGCTATTACTTAATAGAACACTAGTTCTTAACTATATGCTGTATGGTGGTGATTTTACACTTGTTTTATCTGCTTTTCTAGCTATGGATTTGTTTCATTTTATAATGATGTGGATGTGCAGAAGATAGTAGAAGTAAGTAATCTTCTCATGAAAAAAGTCATACTTCCTGCTTAAAATCCAAACTTAGAGAATCTTTCACAACTTATCAGAACTTGTCAATTTTGACTGGACACCTTGCTTCATGAACAAGAGACAGGAAGGGATGGGAGGCAGGGTGAAAAGATATTTTTAATCAAATTCCGTTTGATACTTCTCAACACTTGACTGGAGTATGAGAGTAAGTTAATGTAGCTTCATGGTGACCAATTTTTATTTAGTCTGTTCTCAGCTCTGATCTTCTCTCATAGTAAGTAGGAACCTTAGAGTACTTGGGGTTGTCTTAGTTTCTTGGTTCTGCTGTAATAGAAATACTACAAGTGGGTGGCTTTAACAAATAGAAGCATATTTTCCCATACTTAAGGAAACTAGAAGTCCAAATGTAGGGCTGGCTTTAGAGGAAGGCTTTTTCTTTCCACTTTGGGGAAAAATCCTCATTTCAGCTTCTCTAACCTTCTTGGCATTCCTTGAAGATCTCCACCTGGCATCTATCTTTTCCCCATTCCTGCTCCTTTGCTTCTGTGCCAATCTCCTTTTATATTTCAAAAGGGATTGGTTTAAAACACAACCTACATGAAAACAGCCTCATTAGCAGAACAAAGAAAACCCTATTCCCAAATGGGACTGCATCCATATATAGGGGTTAGGGTTTATAATACATATTTTAGGGGGACACAATTCAATCCATAATGGGGTGGTTACTTTAAGTCTTGGAAGGAAAGGCTTGAAAATTGATTCTAATTTTGTTGTTTTATTTTTAGTCACAGATCACTTTCCATGGTAAAAAGCTAAAACTGGGCCCTGCAATCAGGAAACAAAATTTGTGTAAGTAAAGAAAGAAATTGTTGGTATCAAGTGTAGCTTTTCAGAGGACTAAAAATAGGCTTTGTTTTCATTTTCTTTTTTTTAAAAGGTACTTATCATGTGCAGCCACGTCCTTTGGTGTTTAATCCTCCTCCTCCACCACAGTTTCACAGTGTCTGGAGTAATCCAAACACTGAAACTTATATGCAGCCTCCAACTATGATGAATCCTATAACTCAGTATGTTCAGGTAAGAGCTGCCTGCGTTGTTTTTTTTTTTTTTTTAGTTATGCTTTAGGTACAAATTTACAGAGCAGAGTTTTACATTCAGCATTTCATGTACATTTGGTTTCACTCTCCAATTACCATCCCCAACCCTAACCCACTCTCCTCCCCTTCCTTCCCAGTACCCCCTACCCCTACGTTCTTATATTTTTGTTGTTGTTATTTATTATAATATTAGAGATCTTAGAGGTTATAGTATTAGGATGGCATTTTAAGAATAAGTCGGTCTCACTTCTTACCTTCTGGAATTATATCTGTAACTTTCCTAATTGGCAGTATTTATAGTCCCTGTTTGAATACTTGAGTGATGGAACTGTTACTTTTGTTAGAAATCCCTCATTCTTAGAGTGTTCTTTCTTAAACTAAGCTAAAATCTGCTCCTGTGTAGCTTGTAAGCTTTTTTCTCTGTAGCCAAGAATGAGTTTCTTCTTTTTTGTCCCCATATTCCTAAAATACTGAAGACAGCTTTCTTTAAGTGCCTGCCTATATTCTACAAGCTTAGCAATTCTTCTAGATGTTCCTTATTTGAAATTATTTCCAGATGTTTTCTCATATACATAGCTGACTTCTGGGTATCTTCTAGTTCTAGAATGGATAGGTTTCTGATAAATTTAAATGTTTGTAAATTCTTGAGTTTCTGGCATATAATTTGTCTGGTTCTGGTTATTTTAATAAAGTGAGGCTTGGCATACTATTTCCTGTTGGTAAGAAATAACTTTTATTTCCTTCTTAGTTAATTTTACTTTCTTCAACTTAAAAGACATTTTCTTTGCAGGAATAAAAAAAGAAGGAAAGAAAATAGTAGTAAAATAATTCTCCAGTATCTTTCTTTTGAATTTACATTTTCCATCTACCTGAAGTAGGATATAACTTTTCTTATTTTTCTTCCTCTGAACATGGCTAGACAAAAAACTCTATTTGTTCCTTACATTTACTATGAGCTATTACCTGTCCTGAGTGTATTTATATGTGCTACTACCTGTATGTTTGGGAGCTCTGGTAGCATAGTGCCTAAGGCATGTGACTGCTAACCAGAAGGCTGGTGGTTCAAACCCACCAGCCACTCCTTGGAAGGAAGGTTGGGCAATCTACTTCCGTAGTGATACTGCCTCGGAAACCCAAGGAGGGGTCGCTATGAGTCGTGTCCGACTCTACCGCATGTAACAACAACAACAACCACCCATATGTTTATGCATCAGTAAATGTTTATTGAAACATGTAAGACATTGTATTGTCTCTTTTCCAGTTTTGGATTATATACATTCAGCCCTTAATTTTTAGAAGTGAAATACACAGAGAACCAAACGTCTACGGGAGGACTATATGTTTTCCCATCACATATTATCAGTAGAATGCAAAACTGCCTAAAAATATTTTTTTTATAAAGAAACAACAAATGTATTAATATAGTATTAAAATGGAAACCTGACTTAATAGAGCTTTATCGCAAGTATGAGAAAGAACTTCTAGGTGGGGATCAATAAATAAAGTAGACTGGCAAAATCAGTTCCTTTTCTCATCCATTATCCCTTCCTCTTCCCCACCCAAAAGGCTGACATTTGACAGAGAATATTTTTTTCTTTATGAAATCAGACTCACTCAATTAGAATCTGCATTGTTGCATATGAAGATGACCTTAATTAACATTTAATTTTCATATATTTTGTTACATATTCATATATTTTGTTATATATTTTGTTTATTTTTTTCTTTTTGTCTCGTTAATATATTCTTTCTGTAAACTTTATTTTCAGGCATATCCTCCTTATCCAAGTTCACCAGTTCAAGTCATCACTGGATATCAACTGCCAGTGTATAATTATCAGGTAATTTAATAGAACAAAATGATTTATGTTGGGATATTACTGAGTCCTTTAATTCATATTGTTATGTATGTGAGTGTATATATGGGACCTCTGGTAGCATAGTGGCTAAGGCACTTGACTGCTAACCAGAAGGCTGGCGGTTTAAACACACCAGCCACTCCTCAGAAGGAACATGGGCAATCTACTTCCGTAGTGATACTGCCTCAGAAACCCAAGGAGGGGTCGCTATGAGTCGAGTCTGACTTGATGGCACATAACAACAACATATATATAAATTTATAAAATAAGTTGTCTAGAATTAGGACTCTTTTTATTATTTAGAAATAAAGGAATGATATTTTGACCATAATGTACTTAGCAAGAACTTTTCTCTAGAACTGTTTTCTAAGATTTGGTGTCCCCTTCTATATGTCAACATGTATTCTTCTATCTTTGCTGTCAAATAGCTGGAACATTCAGGCTGACTTTTACAAATTTTCCTAGAGGGATAGGCTGGAATAAAGTGATTACCAAATTCTTAAAATGCTGAATTACGATTATATTTCATAGTGTTTCTTTTAACTGGCTGCTCCAAGATGTTCTCTGAATCTCTTCTGATAGATGTGACCATATTTATGGTCTATGACCATATTTATAGAAAGAAATTCAGAAAACCATTCTTTGGTTTTGCTGAAAGTCAACTCCAGAAAATTGAGAAAAACATAAAGCTTAAATGTGAGGATCACATTACAAATCTCAGATATTAGAAACGTGTAGTATGACTTTATTCTGTTTCTTCTATTATAATAAGTTCAAGGATCTAACATAACAAATATCTGAACATTTTATGTCTCATATGTTTGATAAAATGTGTAGGAATATATAAATAATTGTTGTTTCTTTCTTTCTTTTTTTTTTTTAAGATACCACCACAGTGGCCCATAGGGGAACAAAGGAGCTATATTATACCTCCGGTAAAGTGAATTAATCAAACATATCCCTCCTGTTCTTTGTTAAGAAGTATTTTCTGGCTTAATTATTATATATTGCTATACCTTTTATCAGATTATATATGACTGGAAATATTTTAAAATGCACTTTTATATTATGTTTTATTAAATTTTGTTCACCTGATTATATACTCCCATGAGAGAGACTATGCTTTTTGTTTCTTAAGTTGTTTTTGCGTACTTAAGCAATGGCTGCTCTACACACAATAGGTGCTCAGTTACTTGCTGATAAAATATATAATCCAAGAAAGGTAGTACTAATACGAATTTAGAATTGGCACAGAAACTTCCTAATATCTGCCTCTGGTTTTACTCTCTGTAAGAAAATCCATTAAAGAGAAACTGAGAAATGTTATTGCTGTTAATATTGTTAAGTAAGATAAAGGAATAAAACAAAGGAGAGTTCTACTTCTGGAACCCCTGAGATAGTGTTAATTATTTTTATTAGGATTAGATATTTGGAGAATGTAGAAAGTGTGAAAGTTCCCAAGCACTCCCTTACTATGTATTGGAGTAATTTTTCTTAGAATCCTTCTATTTCCGATTATGTTGAAGCTTAGAAGACAATTTCAAAATAAAAGACTGCCTTATTGCATTTCAGCTATTCAGTTTTAAATAGTTTCTGAAACTGGGTACTTGGATTTAAATACAACTGACAGTTAAACTTTCAATATCAGCTCACCATTTTAAAGAATGAATTGCTTAGAAATGTGTTTGTATATCTCTTTAATTACACTTTCGTCATTTTAAATGTAGGCTTACACAACTGTTAACTACCACTGTACTGAAGTTGATCCAGGAGTTGAAGTTTTGCCAAGTGAATGCTCAGTTCATGAAGCTACTCCATCCTCTGGCAATGGCCCACAAAAGGCAAACATCCAATTTTATTTATTAATGTTTATATTTTTATATTTGATTTTTTATAACTTTTAATTGTGATTTGAGTGAAAGTTCACAGAGCAATATGGTTTTCAATTCAACAGTCATACACATTTTGTTTTGTGACATTGATTGGAATCCCCACAACTTCTTCCTTGTGTTTTTACCATTTCCATTTGTCCTTCTTTCCTCTCCTTTCCTACCTTCTGAGTTTTATCCCTGGACAAATGCTGCCCTATTGATTGATCTTGTAAAGTTGGCTGTTCAAAGGAATGTGTACCTCCCTGGTGTTATTGCTCACTTTATTAGCAGGGCTGAAAGTTGAGCTATGAAACTGAGTTTCAGTTCCAGGCTTAAAGGGTAACTAAAGGCCATTTTTCAAGTTTTAATAATGGCTTTTTAAAAAGCAAGTGTCTCTACCCAAATTTATACATGGAAACCTTAAACATTATAGAGCTTAAGTAATAATTCATCAGTTAATGTAAAAGCTGATAAATTTCAGACACCTTCAAACCCCAAACTTCCAATATATACATAAAATTTCAGACTCAGCAGTCCTTTCTTTTCTTACATTTTCATTGTGTTTGTTTTTACTATACTTTAATAAATATTGGTTAATATGATTTGGCAGCGTGCAATGGACAGGTTTCCTTAAGAACTCTATTCTTCAAAAGAGGAATTAGAATGAAATCCATCTATCGGGTCTTTTGCCCATTTAAATATTTCCTTAGCTAAATAGTAATACACAATTATTTATGGCATATTCTGTAACATTATCTATGGCAGCAGTTCTCAAGAGTGGTGGAGTCACTAATAATAATTGAAATACTGAAATAAGCAGAATTTCTTTTTATCGTTTAGATTTCTATAACAACTACTATTATTACTGCCTTTTCTTGTTTTCTTTAATAGATTGGAGTGTAGATAGAGTTGATGTGCTGAGGATATGTATAAAACTGACTGATTCCCATTGGGTATGTGAATTTCATCCATGTTTCCCAGTGGGAAAAAATGTTGAGAACTACTCAGCCATGGGTGAAAGAAAGTTCTGACATGATTAAAATTTTGAAGAAAAATACTAACATACCTTACAGCATAATCATATTATTAAGCTTTGTTCTAGATACTATTTCTTGAGACGTTGAAGGTTTATTGTTCCTTATTTAACAGGAAAAATGAAAGTGCCTTAAGAAAATACCTTAGGGTTCTAATAAAATTTAGCTGTCTTTAACCAGTATTCTATCACTAATGTTCTAAAATATTTCTTTAATTTGGCAGAAAACTTACATACATATGTGGCAATAAATATTAATTGCATAGGAATTCTTTAAAAATAAGCATGTGTTCATTGAACATCCATTAAGCTGAACAGTGAGTAAAAGGAGAAATAGTCATTAGGTTACTGGAAACTTTTGTATTTCAGAAATCGGTGGACCGAAGCATACAGACGGTGGTATCTTGTCTATTTACTCCAGAGAGCCGACTGAGAAACTCTTTTCTTACCCAAGATGACTACTTCAAAGTATGAAAGAATAGTATGCTTGAAAAAACACATTTGTCAAATTTGAAGCAACTTTTTTTTTCTATTATATATATATATTGAAGTTACTTAGAGCATTTAATGGAACTGTTGACGTTTGACTAACCTGCTAAATAATTTTGAGTAGATATTTTATTCTGTTCAAACTTTAGGCTACTATAGTTTTTCCTTAGGGAGGAAACCTTTAACAGAAACCTAGAATTAACAGAAACCTTTGTGAAAAAAGAGAATTGAGGGAGAATGTTGACTTGACCAAACAATAAGAGAAGATTCTAGCTAGAGAAATCAAAATTTAAGAATAAACATATTGTGAAAGATCAGGTAAGAAGTGGATCATTCAGATGACATACCGTGAACAATTTTGGGGGAGAGGAGATAAAGAGAAGAGTAACTGGAAAGGAATGCAAGTTGATTCAGAGTTGGCGAAGTGGAAAAGAATGTGGATAGTTGAACTTAAGGTGCTGGTTTCTGCTCTGCTTTTACCACTGTGCACAAATCACTTGAATCTCGTTAGGCTCAAGTTTTTAAAACTCTAAAATTAGGAGGCCAGGACTCAAGATCTATGAATATGGAAAAGAACTAACTGATCACTCTGACAGGAAAGGGATTTGTGCTTAGTAATATGAAGTTTTTTTAATAGCAGCTTTATTAGGATATTCACGAATCACACAATTCATCCATTTAAAGTGTACAATTCAGTGTAAGTGGTGCTTAGTATATTCACAGAGTTGTGCCACCATCACCACAATCAATTTTAGAACATCTTGGTCACCCCAGAAGAAACCCCATACCCATTATCAGTCACTTCCTTTTCCCCCTAAACCCTCCAACCCTAGGCATCTACTTATATACTTTCTGTCTACAGATGTGCCTATTCTAGACATTTCATATAAACAGAATCATACAATATGTGATCTTTGGTGACTGTGTTCTTTCAATTAGTGTAATATTTTCAAGGTTTGTCCATGTTGTCACGGGTACCAATGCTTACACCCACCACCCACTCCTCAGAAGGAAGGTTACACAATCTACTTCCATAGTGATGTTATTGTTGTTGTTATGTGCCGTCGAGTCAGACCCGACTCATAGTGACCCCTCCTTGGGTTTCTGAGGCAGTATCACTACAGAAGTAGATTGCCCAACCTTCCTTCCCAGGAGTGGCTGGTAGGTTTGAACTGCCAGCCTTTTGGTTCGTAGTCAAGTGCCTTAGGCACTGCGCTACCAGAGCTCCATAGTGATACTGCCTCAGAGACCCAAGGGGGGGGGGTCGCTGAGTCACATCTGACTTGATGGCAATGAGTTTGTTTTTCAGTACTATATTTTATTTATCCATTCATCAATTGATAGACATCTGTCTGGATGGTTTCCACTTTTTGAATACTGTTATGAACATTCAGTAGAAGTCTTTGTGTAGATATGTTTTCATTTCTCTTGGGTATATATCTATGAATGGAATTGCTGAATTACATGGTAACTGTTTAATCTTTTGAGGAACTGCCAGACTTTTTGTAAAGCAGCTACACCATTTTATATTCAAAGAGAATTTTTTAACCATTGCTTTCTGTTTTAAACGGGAAGGAAAATAGCTTTTTTCCGTCTGTGAATGGACATAGGATAAAGCTTTGAAAGCCTTTGTAAAGGGTATACTAATGACCTGTAAAGCAGAGTAGAGGCAGCTGTAGCAGGATTGAGTTCTCACCATCTTTGCAATAATACACTGCCATCTAGTTGATCCTAACTCAGCAACCCCTCCATGGGTTTCCAAGGGGGTATCTCTATGGAAGTAGATTGCCCAATCTTCTTTCCAGGGAGGGGCTGGGGGGTTTGAACTGTCAGCCTTCTGGTTAGCAGTTGAATGCCTTAGGCACTGCACCACCAGAACACCTATTTTTGCAATAGGGAGAAAAATATTTCTTTAAAATGGCATTTATTCTGTTACTGCTTCAATCTACATAGATAGTACAATTTAGAAAGGGAAGTACTGGGGTTGTATGTTAGCTTACCTTCCCAAAATGAATAGGTAGCACTTAACATTTATATGGAAAGCATAAAATAGAATCTTTAAACTTGACTTTTCACCTGGTAGTAGACAAAAGGCTCCCTTCCAACTTCCCAGAGTTTTTTGCACCCCCCTGGATTGGTAGCCTGTAGTTCTCTGGCATCCAGATCTATTTTAATTTGCTAAATACGGTGTTGTTTTAATTGAATTTGTAATCACTGAGGCTGCGTTTACACTATTTCCATGATAAATTGTACTCTATGTTGTCCAACCTCTTCATATTCTTAGGTTTGTCCCTGAAGATATTTGAGTTTATGACCACTTTTCTAGGCTTTATCCTAAACAAGATATTGCCCTTCCAGAAGTCACCCTTCTTTATATGACAGTTGGATGTAATTTGTAGGAAAATGGCAGTTAGGCTGTGTATACAGAAGAAAATAGTGTGCTATTACTGGTTTACACAGTCCTATTCTTTGTAAGGCCTCACTTTCTTGTATCTGTATATTTTTAGACAACATAAAGGGAAAGGAAACTTTGCTTGTATTTTTGATTTTTCTCTTTCCTAGAGAATGATGTGTTTGCATCAGAGGTTAAGGAAGAATCAGTTCCTTTAAATGTACCAAGACTTTTAACCTAAAAGTATGGAATTTCAGATTGAAATGGAGTGTTGTTCTCAAGCTGTCATTTCTACCAAATGCACTTCAGTAGTAAAAATAAAACTTTTAAAAATGACATACATTTTCCACCAATTGTCTTTGTGACATCACTGCCAATATATTAACTAAGAATGTACATAAAATAAGACTGACTCTCTAAGTTATGTAGTTCTGAGTTTACTGGAATTTCTTTTTTAACCTACTGTTCTGGTTACCTAGTGCTGCTCTGACAGAAATATACCACAAATGGGACGGCCTTAACAAACAGGAGTTTATTCTTACAATTTGGAGGCTTTAAGTCCAAGTTCAAACTGCCAGGCTCTAGGGGCTGGATGAAAGCCCCTCAACCTTGGGGTCCATCTCTGCCTCCTGCTCCCGGCCCACTGGAGCTAGAGGCATTTCTTCACTCAGACAGCTGCTAGCTGCTGAGGCTGAGAAGCCCCAAGGTTGACAAGTCAAAAGGCACAGTCCGAATGTTACCAAACCACACTGCAGGCCATTAACTTAAGTCCATTTTAAGTCCCAAGGTCGGCAGAGCATGGCAGGCTTACTGAGCAGTAACGGCTACATGCAGAGTCCAAGCGTGCCATAGGCTAGGACCATACCCAAGTCTTCTGCTTGAATACTGGAAGCAGACCACATTCCCTAAGGCAGCTACTCAGCTGCTCCCAGTAGATTCTACAATGGAGTTGATTACCAGTCTCATCGTGGGAATACTACCATCAGCTGCCCAGCCACTCAACCAGGCCCAGCCAAGTTGACACACAAACATAACTACCACACCTACTATGTAATAAAACTAGCCATCATGGTATATTTGTCCAAAGATCAGGAATCCTTCCCCAAAGGGGATCATCATTTTTCTTATTATTTATAGGGGTTTAAGCCAAAAATAAATACTATAAAGTATTTTACGTCTTTCTAGGTTATGGTGATAATTAATAGGAAATTTGCAAGGAAGTAAAAAGGACTATTTCTGTCTTTTCTAGGATAGAAGAATGCATCACTTTAGAAGAAGTCGGGCAATGCTTAAATCTGTTTGATCCTCTCTGCTAACTTTCTAGTCTCATGAGCAGTTGCTGGTTTTGAAGAAGAGGCTGAAAGTTTTTCTTTATTATAGAAATTTCATTCTGAATTTGATAAATCACACCCCTACTTTATGTACAAGTTATACTAGATTACCTAGCTTTATTTTACATTGAAACTGTTCTTCGTTAGATGTTTTATTAGAAACTAGTTCTGTGTTGAATATATAGCTGAAAGTAAAAAATAGAGACAAAAGAATAGCTAAGATTTATCTGTAAGGATTTTTTTTAAAACATTTTAAGCATTTTAAAAGAAAATGGCTGATTTTCAAAAAAATTGTTTTAAAAACTTACTATTTTGAAAGGTCAGAATTTTGATAGTGTGAATACCAGCATTTCACTTCTCCAACAAATATCTGCAAGCAGTACAATATTTACAATTTTATGCTTTGCATTTATAATTTGTCTAGAAATTTACCACAAAAGCAGAGTTTTTAAAACTGTATTTTTAATCAGTGGAACTCAATATATAATTAGCTTTATTGAAGTCTTCCTTATCTAAACCCAGTAAAACAGATCTTAGGTTTATTAGTTCAAAATATTTTATCTATTACCTAGAATCCAGGCATAGATATTCTATTTGATTGGGGTGGTAATTAGGATAACTAAAATTCTGGGCCTAATTTTTTTTAAGAATCTAAAACAAACGAAACTTTGCTAATTACATAAGCTTCTCAGTGAGTTACCATTCTTTTTTCTTTCAATTTTTTTTTCCTGAAAAGGCTAAACTCAATGGCTGTATCTTAAATTGTGCAAAATATTGGTTTTAAAGAAAGCTGAGATTTTTTTATGTCACTTAAAAGTTAATCAGAGTATCTGAAAGGAATTATTTTTATAAAAACATTAAAATATTAGCTATTTGTTATAGAGAAAATAGATTTTTTTTTAATTTTTGTTAGCCTATTATATTTTCTTTTCTAAAGTAAAATACATCCAGGAGAGTCAAAGTACTAGGTAGTATTAATGTTTCCAAACCACAAAAGTTGTTTAATATCCAAAGAATGTGTTAGAGTTAACAACCTGTTTCTAGATTAGCTCTTCTCATTGTTGGACATTGGACATTGTGATGAATAACTTGAGCACTAAAGCCCCTTTTCTATCCCTACAGTCTTGCTTTCCTAGTCTGTACAGTTCCTCTGGGATGTTTGCTCCTAGAACTAGCAATGTAAAGAAGATAAATAGCAATGTGAGCATTTCAGGGACTAACTCTCAGAAACATAGCAATGGCATAGTACCTTTCTAAAGGAAATAGTTGTATCAGCATTAGTTCACTTGCTATGGACAACAGTTTAAACTGACATCCTGGCATTTTATTCCATCGGCCCCTTCCCTAAAACGTGGAGACTCTATTTATCCCTAACAATGCAGCTACTATGGACCATATCACCAGTGCCCATTATGATCTGTAATTCCTGATAATTTCACTCAGAATCTGAAGGAAAGAATCTTTAAACTTTGAAGGATACCTAAGAGGACTTTCTTATGCTTTAGAATTAAAAATTTCCCTGAAATTTGTCCTTCACTTTTGTGTGTGTGTGTGTGCTATGACATTCTTACATGTATCATTCTGTTATTAAATCTCCAGCTTACTATAAATGGTACCTAAATTCTAAAGATTCTATTCTAATTCTCCCAATATGACCTTAAGGAAAAGTAAGGGAATATGCTTTTTGTTTGCTATTTTGTTGGAGTGAAGTATTTAAAAGAGTAAAGTAGAAAGAAGAAACAAAGTCCTGAACCTTTCAAAGTGGAAAATTAATTTTAAACTTAAAAATATGTTATTACCTATTACTGATTTTGTCTTTGCATAAATAAATAAATAGAAATAAAGAAACTTTTTTTCCCAAAAAAGAAAGTGTTTTTGATTTACTTATGTCGTATCTAAAGAAATGGTTTGGTGAAGTGATGTATGACTTAGATCCTTGACATTCAAAAGGAAAATAGTGTTCAATTTACTAGTCTGGCAGTGTAGGCTTATAAAAATAAGTTTCAGTACATTGTATTTTTGTTACTTACTCTTAGGAAATTAAGAGATGGATTTTGCATGAGAAAATAACACCTCTTTTGTTGGGTTGGACATGGTTAACATCGTGTTCCATTGCATTGTGTCCACAGAGCAGTGCCTAGTCAGAATGTTGGTCAATGCATCCCAACTTTGCAATTCTCATGGCCAACATCTGTTTCATTTTGGACTCTCAAGTTCTTTTCATCTACTACACACATTGAACTTAATCTTTCTGACTCTTTATTTTGAGATATTGCAGCTGTCTAATAGAGCTTAGATTTTTCATACTGCATATACATCATAGGAGAATGCATCAAAAGATTAGTGCTTACTGCCACTTCCAGTTCTGGCTCCAGTACTTGCAGTCCTATAAGCTGAGGGCATGGGAGAAGAAATTTTCCCCTCTTATGCTATAGTTCATCAATGAGGAATCTCTTATTGACTAACTTATTAACAGAGAATTAATTATGACACCAAGACTCTGCAGTGCCTTCTTGTCGGCAAAGATGAAATGTTGATGTTTGATGAGTAATAATAACTTGCTGAAAATTGCATGTGTGTTTATGTGTGTGTGTTTACATTAACCATTGTCTAGAACATTTGGTTAGCCCTGTCCAAGCTAAATAACACTTTATAATATTTAGAGGCCCCAAAACTAGACTACATATGTCTTGAAACATGCTTTCATGGTATCTCAGCATATTTGTAGTTGAGGACAACCACAAAAAATCTCAAAACCAAGTCTTTGGCATTGAGAAAGAGATTATATATAGCCCTTTTTTGCAAAAAGTTAAAAGTATAAAAATGATCCCCAAAACGTTGAGCATACCTGTAAGAAATATATTCTGCACATATTTTTTTCCCTAAAAACATGACACCTTTGTAATTCCAAATAACCTTCCAATGTTCATTAACATCCTTATTTCAAGGAAGCCATTGACTTTCAAAACTAAATATTCCACAGCAGTTTCCTTTAGTTATAAAGCCTCTCTTTCCCCTCAAACTCTCTAGGTTGTCTTCAAAGGTAAACTCATGAAAATGGGCTACCACATTGTTTGATCATTTTGTCTGCTTTCATTGCTGTCTTTTGTGAGTAATACGAAGCAGCAATGATAAGGCAACATGCCACTCTGCCTTCACAAAGATGGCAATAGAGTGAGTGGGGAAACCATAAGGGGAGAAAAGCAGCAGTGTTTTCCATTGACCAAGTCTTGCTAATAAGACCAGCTGTTGAATATGATCATTTGGAATCCCGGAAACACTTCTTGTAGATGAGGATTGCTCCTGTACATATTCTGATAACTGTGTAATCTAGCCCTTTGAACATTATGTGTAATATGTGTCTCTCTGTGTAACTGATTCTTTTGAGCAATTCCTCACCAATCATCAAAGACTCTGAATTTTCCATCTGTAAACAGTACATTTGGTGGTAGAAAACAATAAACATAGGAAGTTTAAACTATAAACATGTGTTTTTGAATGCTCATGCAAAATATTCAATCTGCATAACAAAGAAATGATAGGTAATTCTGTATTGCATTTAGAGTTAAAAACATCTGTCCAATATGGCTGTAGCTGTGGGCTAATCTCAAGAAAATGCAAAAATTGTCTCCTGGTACACGAGTTGAAACTACCACTATACAATTAAACTCTATGGTAGCTATATTTTACATTTTTAACTGGTCTGAAACAGAAAATTTTGTAGTTGAGTGTCTAGTTCATTTTCCCAAAGCACACAGAGGCTTTATCTCTTAGGTGCACCTCCATTAAGGCAGCGTGCCAGGAATATGCCTTTCCGACACATAAAACTTCCAGATACCAGTTCACTAGGTCTTTAACAATAGAACAAATGCTTGCATGACTGGGGTGGCTGAGGTCATGAAAGCTCTTTCTAAATTTGAAGCAACAGTAACATTTCAAGCAGTTCAGAAAGTTGGAGATTTTACAATCCTTAATCAGTCTTTTTTTACAGAAAATGAATCCAGGGAAAGTACATTAAGGATCTAATCACATCTATTGTCTTTCCCCAAAATAAAACGGAAAGCGACACACTGTGTTTTGTCTCGGTCTTGGCAAAATGATTTACTATAGAAAGGCAGGGCTGACCACAGATTTGCATCGTACAGCCAGATCAGCTGTCTACAGTGGGCATGTTCCCTCAGCTCTTGTACACTTGTTAAAAAATTGTAATAATCTCCTCCAACCCCTGAATAAATGTAGCTGGTCCAGTGAGACTGAGTGGGGTAATTTAAAATATGGAGGCCATTTCTGTTTGTTTTTACCTAAGCTGTCCCCCTATGTAGTGCTTGGGCTGCTTCACTGTGAATCTGAACAGTATTTGAATGGTACACTTGCTATGAGAAAAATTTACACTCTTCTGAACATGACATGGTTACTCATCATTCTGGTTGGTAGTATGTCTGTATTGCGTAAAATAACACATACATTCACCCTTCAAGGTTACATCCATGATGAGATCAGCCCATTATTTCATAGGACTAGTTCATTTTTCTTAATGATACTGATTTCACTGGGAAAGCAAAGAGGATCTGAATCATCATCTGGATTGCTTTTCAGAGATAGAGATTCCTGGCTTCATTCTTAGATGCTCTTTCTGTAGGTCTGGGGAGGGCCTCATAGTTTGCATTGTTAAGAAGTCCCCCAGATAATTCTGATCTCTGAAGCATACACTTTGAGAAATACTGTTGTATTATCTAGGGATCTCTCAGTATATCATGTCAGGCTACTCTTGGTTTTGGGATAGTTGGATTTGAAAAACAACTCTATCAGGTCCATCTGCACATTTTCATAAGGGATTTTGTTGTCATAATTCATCTTTGTTTGCCAAGCCTATGCCCAGGAATGCCTCTTATCCAAAAGCAAGAGTAACTTATGAACAGGGGTGAAAAGTGGATTGCATTGTCCAGACTTAAATCTGAAATCCAAGACTTTGGCTAGAAATGGGTGTTAGGAAGCAGTGACTGCAGAGCCAAAGCTGGATTCCAAGGCCAAGTGCTGGCAAGCTGAGGGAGAGGGATGAGGAATGATTGGGAGGGAGCAGAGTGGGAAATATGGAGGCAGAAATTCTATGCTTACCTCCTGGAGGCAACCAACCATGCCTTTGGCTCACTTGACAAACTTTTAAATTGTTACTGCCTATGGTTTTATT